GATTATACTGAGCTAAGTAAATGTAAGTAAAATTTCAAATGTAGAAACATGACAAAGAGTCGCTCCCCTAAAGCCACATGATGCAAGAGCATGTTCGGACTAACTAAAAGTGACTCCGTGGACTTTTCCATGGCGGTGCAAGTCGACAGTGAACGGTTAACGGAGCTAACGTTAAAGTTAATTATGCTAACGAAGCTAACCTCATGGTTCGGTGTAACGTTCGGCCTCCAACATAGTGGCTTTTACTTCAAATTAACCCCCAGTAACTGGGAACACCGAACATCTTTCTGACGACACATACCTTACTCACATTTGTGCCTGTTTTCGTGCCTGTTTTCCTACCTGTTGTACAGCCTCATGAGTGCGACCTGTTCGGATTGATGCAGCCCGTCAACACCTGTCTCCTCCCCGAGTTAAGGCCAGAAATGTCCGGGCTTCTCATGGACTTCAGGTAAAATCTTAAAAATATGATGCAGATACTGGCAGACTAGTTTGAAATCTCAAATGCAAATATGATTCTTGCTAAAAGTTTTATTTCTGTTCGGATTTATGCTGCATTTCTGTTTTGGCCTATATAACCTACATTTACATTAGATTTATATTCCTTTGACTTTTTACATTTTTATCTGGATGTTCAGTCTAATTTATTTCTTTGTGATAATTTGCTGCTTTGATCTATTTCTATTGATTTTTTTGTTGTTTATATATAAAATAGTATTTTGTTAATATCATTATTATTGGTATTCTTTTAAACATTGCTCATGCAACTTATTGTTTAGTTACTGTATTATTATTAAAGGTTTTTTTTAACCTATGTAAGGTCATAAAATGTTCTAAAAAGTATCAATTATTATTTTGTTTATAATTTACGTCCATAAAATGTCTTATAAAGTCTTGATTATGAAATGCCTTAAATTAGATTTTGAAATTTAAGGAAATTTATAAAATGTCTTAAGAAGTCTTATTTATAGTTATGAAAGGTCCTAAATTTTGAGATGATGCCTAAAGCTATTTATTTAAATTTAAAATCCACCGAAATTAGTTATTTAAGGTTTTGTTTTAGACATGTGACAAACTTTTTTTCATGTAATGCATAACAATGGTGCAATGTCCATTGTAGTCCATAACATGAAATAGTTTGATCATTATATTGTTCAAATTATAATGTGACTCTATAAGTAGATGCAGTAGAAAAATATCTGTATCAATGTCATGATTAATTTAAAGTATGCCAGACCTTAATGTGAATTCTTTCGTTCGGGAGAGGGTATTTGATTTTCTTTGATGTCTTAACAAGCATTAAACTTAGCTATTTAAGTTAATTGATAACTGAGAGCACAAATCAGCTTTTCAAGGTCAGAAAAACAAACAAACAAAAAAAAGGACTTTTTGGACAGGGTCCTCAGGTAGAGAAAACAAGATTTCCAACTAATTTCATCTCCTTCATTCTCATCAAGGTAATGGTTTAAAAAAAAAAGCTGCAGATTTCATAAGAAAATCCTTGAGGCAAGTGAGGAGTTACCAAAGGCTGAGAAGAAACACTGAAACTGAAATCAATCTGAAAATGAAATGTGAAATATTCCATTAGTAAAGAAAGATCAGCACAATGATGTACAGGACGTACTTCAGAAGTACTGCACTGAACTACTTCAAGGTTTTAACAGGTTAATACTTTAAAGATATACTGCCTGAAATGACACCACAGAGGACGAAGAGTTTACATAAAGGAGCAGATAGAGAAAGAAAAGAGTAAATACAGCATCTTTTAAAATCAGTGTAGAAGTCAGATTTAGCTTATAGCCAAAATTCATAGTATACCATGGAAATAGTATGTAATGAATACAACCACCAAAGTCCAATTTCTCTTTAGGATGCATTTTTTTACCTTTTGCATTTTTTGTCAACGTATTTTGACACAGAAATCCTCAAAGTGTAGATATATTTTTGAGTTTTCAAAACTGAAAGCAAACTGGACAATTGTGATTTAAATCCCTTCAGGCTTGTATGTGTATATAAGTTTAAATAAAGGGCCAGCTGACTGTCGGAGGCAGGATGGATGGATGGACAGATGGATGAGGGTTTTCCTGTTAATCATTGATAACTTGGATTAGCTCCAGTCTTCTGTAAATATGATGAATGCGTCCACGGCTTCATTAGCTCTGCCTTCCCACAGCACAGCTTTATAGTCTGAGGTGGCTCTGTCAGGTCTATCAACAGCACAGAGTTTTTCCATTTTTGTATGTGGCTGGTAGAAACTGACCAAAATGCTAGAGCTGGTGTTATCTTTTCCTGGACTTGTGTGATGGAGGGATTGGCAAACAGTGTTTGAGGATTCATGTGTGTGTGCAGAGTGGGGTTCACAGTCTTTAAGGACAAATGGTCTGCAGTGGACTTTTTTTTTTTTTTTTTTTTTTAAATTTCATAGCAGACTGGCTTCACTTTTCTTCTTCTTCTTTGTCTGCGATTGAGTTTTAAAATCTGACGTCCACGATGCCGATGAAGCGCAGCAGTGAGAGTTCAGGCAGACATGGAGTGTTTCTCATTCACTCTTTAACCAAGACTTTGTGCAGCTCACCAGAGGAAACACACAGAGATTTTAATGGGCAGACACATTTTCCTCAGGAAGATGATGCTGGGATTAAATCAGGTAACGTAGCAACCACACTCAGTTTCAGAAAAATAGGGCTCACATTTTGTTTTATATTGTTATTATCCCTTATATGTCATCTCCTTTGTTTTCTCCTGTTTTCTTGATATCATTTCTATTCAGTCTTTAAATCTGAATGTTTTTCTGTGGACAGGTTCCAGATTTGCTCAGGTAGAAAAAGTGACACTAATCAACCACATGGTGGTGCTACAGCTACAGGCTTCATAGAAGTGACAGCAAGATAACATTCATTTTTTCCCCCTAACAACTAAAATGAAAGCAATCAGTAAACAGAGAAGATTCAAATGAATGAAACAAATTCAGTCTGTTAGTGGTGTTATGAAATGCAGCTTTACATCGAGCATTTGTGTAAAATGTGGAGTTAAAAATATTTTGGTGGCTTAAAATAAATCCTCTGCAGACGTTGGTTGGTTTGCACTAAAATTTGAACTGTTTCATAATTTTTGCCACACTAAGTTGAATAAAATACACATGGCAAATATAGAATTCTTTTACTTTTCACAGTCATCAATCAAAGATTTTGAAAGGCATGCTAAAAGCAATGAGCATATACTCAATATTCTTAATTTTAGAGTTATTAAATATTTCATATACACTGTATTTAGGCAGTAACAGCATCAACATCACAAAGGGCTGTTTTTTAAATAGTGAAATCAGGGAACATTTCACCAAAATGTTCCAGCTGTGAGATGTGAAACTTTTCCATATTCATTTGCTCCAAAGACTTAGAATATTGTACTTTTACTGCAGTTTTCTTTAATGCATTTATATACTCATAGCTCTGGTAGCTCTGGAGCAGTATCAGGAATAAAGTAGTTGAGTATATTCTGTAACTCGTTGATTCAGTGATACTGTTTTTCCATCATTTCGAACAGCAATTCTAATTCAATTTTATTTCTCTCTAAATCTTCTGAAAACGAATATTAGATGCTGATAATTTTGGAAATTGCCCAACTATGTTTCGAAAAATATGCAAAAATATTGTTAAGCTGCCATGATTCACATTCATTTTTGTATGTTTTTGTAGTTTTAAATAGTGAATTTACAAACTTGTGTTTTCTGTGGCTGTCAGCTCCACTACTTCGAGAACTTTCAGGTGATATTACACTGTCTGGTGGATGCACTGAGGGTCTGTGAGGTCTTGAAGCATCTGCATTTATAAACACAAAATGTTACCAATAAGTAAAATAAAATAAAATGTTATAACATGTATTTTTACATTTACCCTAATCATTTTGGCTTGTTAGATGATTAGTTACTGTATTTTTGTAGGTTTTATAATTGTAACATGACATTAATAAGTGTTCAGGTTTTTGGAGTTTCCTTTATTCCAGTTTTGCTGGGAGAGACATTCTCTAGAAAAAACTCTGTTAGACTGAAAAAGCAATTAAGACATTCTTGTTATTTTGTCAATACCAAGTGGAAATGGAGTTACAGTACAGTACACGTCTTTGAATAGCTGTTCTGGCACCCTTCAGAAAATAATGGACCATTATTTGATTCCTTTAACTTTGGTCCCACAGTGCATTGTTCACTGCACAGGCACACCAGTAGCAATCTAAGTGAAGTGATTTATGAAAGCACAAATCACTTTCTCAAGGTCAGATAAGCACAAAAGCAGCTCGGCTTTGGACACTGTCCTCTAGGAGTGAGAAGAAGATGACTTAAAATTCATTTAATCCTTCTTCTTCTTCTTCTTGTTCTTGTTCTTCTTCTTCTTCTTCTTCTTTTTCTTTTTCTTTTTCTTTTTCTTCTTCTTCTTCTTCTTCCTCAGTCTCATCAGAGCAAATGCTTGGATTAACAAATAAAAACCTTGAGGCATGTGAGGTTGCTGGAGACACTGAAAGCAAAGAGGAAATGCTCAAACTGAAATAAATCTGAAAATGAAATGTAAAATGTTCCATTTGTTAGGAAAAATCAATGCAGCGTAGCATCTGATGCACAGGAAGCACCAGACAGTGCGCTGTATTTATTCAAGTTTTCAAGGTTTCATATGCAGTAGGTTTTAAATCAGAGAAGAATAAGCAAAAGGACACTGAACTACTTCATTTAATCACATAATCATACAGCGAGGCATTTTACAGCACATTTTTAGGCATATTTTATGTTTACTTTTTTTCCACTCTGTCTTAGACAGAGATGGAAGGAGCAGTATCTGCGTAAACCATGTTGAAAAAAAGTCAAATTATAGAAGAACTAGATTGTGTTTTTTCCAGTGTGAAATCTCAGGTTTTGCGCCATTTTTCTTAAACATTAATTGATTGGAAACAAGCATGTTGAAATTAATACTGAAGTTGAAGATGAAAAGTGCATATGTCTCCTCCTATGAACTATGTGCTTTATTTGTCTCTATGTTTTCTCAGAAGCCGAGGACAGTAATGAGACTCCATCCTCTGAAGAAGACCAGGACCTGGTGGACTTTAACGCAGACCTGACCATCAAACAGAGCATCTCCTCGTCCAGGAAGACCATCAGTCAGATCATCAAAGACAAGAAGAAACAGACGCAGCTCACTCTGCAGTGGTAAGAGCGCTGCAGGCAGTCTACACACACTACATCTGCAAATCCACACTTACATGGTACAGTTTACTCAAGTACATTTTCTCCTTCTACTGAAAGTTGTATTTCTTACTGCACTGCATTTGTTTAACAGTTGTAGTTACTTCTCCAATTCAGATTTTAAAACTCTATGATGAGCATTTTTAAATATCATACAGTAGTGTATGAAATAGCTTCAATCAGCTCTACCTACAACATTGAATTGCAGTTTACATATTAATGCATCAGTAATAATTATCCATTGGTATCATGTATAACAACACAATCGTGACAGAGCGATTCAGCCTGTACAGTGGGAACTTTAACTTTTATAGTTTGAGTAAATTTTGCTGAATATACTTACATATTTTTTGAATGCACACATACGCTTTTACTTGTAATGGAGCATTTCTACAGAGTGATCTTTCCTAGTAGCTACTGTTTCTTAAACCAAACAATAATAACAACCAGGAGTGACATCTTCCTCCTCTTTTGGACTTCTAACAGTTATTGGCAACCAGTACATCTGATTTGCTCTTTTCCTATATTCCTATATATTCCTCTATTTTATCTCTATTGTAGAGCTAGACTGTGACTGTTTGCATTAACTGTATTCAGTGGACATCTCATACATTGTTGTGAGGATGAGCTATTTTCTCACTGATGTGTCCACAGGCTGGAGGAGAATTACATAGTGTGTGAAGGAGTGTGTCTGCCTCGATGTATCCTCTATGCCCACTATCTGGACTTCTGCAGGAAAGAGAAACTAGAGCCGGCCTGTGCCGCAACATTTGGAAAGGTGTGTGTGTGTTGGTGTGTGTGTGTGTGTGTGTGCCCTTGCAGAGCCAGAAAACGTCTTCACTGTCCAAAATGCCTTCCATAAAATCAGGAAACAGGCATCTATTTGCAGAACCCTAATCCTGCACAACACGTTTCTTCATACTGCTCAGTTACAAGTACAATGATCTTGGTAGTTGTGTTGGAAAAAACTGGTTATGCATTTTTGATTTAGTATATGAAAGTTTATTCCATATATGCCTCTGCAGATACTCCCCCTAAAAAAAAGAAAAAAAGATATAAAATAATAGTTTCCTCTGTGAGATTTTCAGGTAGAGCTGAATTAACAAGAACTTTGTGCCTCCTGTTTTTCCTCAGACGATCCGACAGAAGTTTCCTCTTCTGACAACGAGAAGACTGGGCACCAGAGGACACTCCAAGTAAATACTCAATTTAACTTTCAGTCTTTTTCCACATGTTCATATTTTGGATTTTTGCAAACGGTTGTCATGTAGCTTATAGCTCCATTTTTTAACAGATATCATTACTATGGAATTGGCATCAAAGAGAGCAGCGCCTACTATCACTCTGTGTATTCTGGGAAAGGTTTGACCAGGTGACATTTAACATGATGTAATCCAGTCTTCTTCTTCTTCTTCTTCCTTTGCCTTCTCTCTCCTCACCCTCCTTCTGCTTCTCCTCCTTCTTCTTCCTCCCTCTCGTCTCCTTCTACCTCCTCTTCCTATTCTTCTACTTCCTATTCTTGTTCTTGTTGTTATTTTTCTTCCTATTCTTGTTCTTCCTCTTACTTTTCTTCTTGTTCTTCCTCTTCCTTTTCCCATTCTTCTTTTTCCCATTCTCCATCTTCCTATTCTTCTTCTTCTTTTCCTATTCTTCCTGTTTGCATATTATACTGTTTGTCCATGTTTGGTATTTCACTGTTTGTGTGTCCATCATTAGTGCACACTGGTTATATGTTGTCTGTTTTATCTCAGTCTTTGTAGATGATGTTGATGTTTTGTTCTTTAAAGTCTCTGCTGCAGTTTGAGTATTCATGAGAGAAAGACTCTGGAAATACATGACACTAATTAAACAAAACTACAAATGTAAAATTCATGTCAACATTTATTACCATGAAAATAATTATTTCTTTCTATATACAGCGTGTGTGCAAGTGTGTGTGTGTGTGTGTGTGTGTGTGTGTGTGTGTGTGTGTGTATTTTGAAGATTTCATTGCCCAAACACGATATATTTACATTTTAAATCCCTGCTGATGAAACATTTGATCATGATCAAATCTGTTTCTCTTTGATCACAGATTTTCAGGGAGTAAGCTCAAGAACGAGGTAAAACAAGTGATTATAGTTAAATTTACTGAAATAAAAACAATTTTCGGCATTTTATCAGGATCAAGTCAACAACAAGTGTCTAACACAGATTGTATGTTTCAGGGAGGTTTCACCAGGAAATACTCTCTGAGCTCGAAAACTGGAACTTTGCTCCCAGACTTCCCCAGTGCTCAGCATCTTCTGCTGCAGGGAAACATCTCCAGAGAAAAGGTTGGTGATTGTATATTTACTATAAATTCTATTCATACTATTCAGTCTATCTTCTGCATTTCCAGTAGCTTTTTTTCTGTTTTTGAATTAATTTCACGTCGGATCTTCATTGTCCTTTGGCAGGTGGACACTCTGATCATGATGTATAAAACGCACTGCCAGTGCATCCTGGACAACGCCATTAACGTCAACTTTGAGGAGGTGATAATTAAGGTGATAACTGAAAATAAAAACAGTTCACCATCAGACTCACACTGACGCAGCTCTTCAAATATTTTTGTTTCAGATCCAGAATTTTCTGCTCCACTTCTGGCAGGGAATGCCCGACCACCTGCTGCCGCTGCTGGAAAACCCCGTTATAGTCGACATCTTCTGCGTCTGCGACTCCATTCTCTATAAGGTTGATATTAGATACTGTTTCTACGCTTTTATTACTACAGTGTGCAGGTGCAAAAAGTGTCTCAAACTCAAATAAAGTATCAGGTTTTCCAGCAAGCAAATTCCATTAATGTTTTGATATGCTTATAATTAATACAAACCAGAAAGATATGTGTATTTTAATCGTTCTTTTGCACTTAAATCTTGCAGTTCTTCAGTTTTGCTCAATTGTTCATTTATGTCCATTTATTTATAATTCTGAGCTGCACTTGCAAATAGTCTTTGAGTCAGATGCTAATATTGTTCATAGTATTTATCCAAACTAACTTCATTTAAAAAACACAGGGAGCGATCGGCCAGCTGTGTGTCCTAGTAACTGGAGACTTTTTCTTAGAAATGAAAGGGCCCTGGTTTAATCCCAATCCATCCTAATAAAATGTTCTTGACCTTAAAAGCAGGCATTTTGAAGGAAGAGAACAGCTGAAGAATGATGTTGTGTCCTTCTCTTCGGAATAGATTTGATTCATCACCCAGAGTCTTTAATTCTTCAGAACTAGCAGCTCTCAAACACACAGCGGAGTTTCTACGACAAGAGGGAAAGATAAAGAGCTCAACAGGCTCAAGAGATAATTAGAACCATCTTGATTACAATGATATCTATTTAAATGTACTGGTGCCTTGGAGCCTGTATGTGTTTATACTGTTATGATTAGCAGTGTATTGCTCTGTTTTACTGATGAATCCTTTATTTCCTCAGGTTTTAACAGATGTTCTGATTCCTGCTACGATGCAGGAGATGCCTGAAAGGTTTGTTACTTCAACTTCACCTCATGTTCATTTGATGCGTCATCGTCAAATCAGCTGTGATGTTCATGATAATAATAATAAGAAGAATAATAGTAACGATAATAAGCTTTATTTATATAGCACCTTTCGAAACACAGTTACAAAGTGCTTTACAAGACAAGATCAAATCGAGGACGAACACTAAAAAATGAATGATTAAAAAACAAATTTAAAGGTTTTACAACATTTGGGGGAGAGAAAAGTGACAATGAGGCAAATGAGGTTCAGTAAAAATGAGATAAAACAGTCTAAAATAATTAAAGTAATTGATAAGAAACAGGATGATTACTTAATATAATAATAGATTTAAAACATTAGTAGATCCAGACCCCAAGCCCAGAGAAAACACAGCTATAAAACTGTCTTTAAAAGGGATTTAGAAGAGGCTAAAGAGCTCGTCGATCTAATCTCCTCTGAGGTTGTTCCAGAGAGCGGGGGCCCGAACAGAGAAGGCAATGTCACCCTTAGTCCTCAGCCGAGATTGTGGAGTGGCTAATAGAGCTTTGGCTGAGGACCTCAGGTTGTGACAGGGCACACAAGGTGTCAGTCTGAGATGTACTCAGGTGCACGTCCAGAGGTGAGTCCTAAAAGTCATCAATAAAATCTTAAAATCAATGCTAAAATTTACTGGAAGTAAATGAAAAGACGCTGGAATAGGAGTAATATGCTGTCTTTTTTTGGTTTGGCTGCTGCCTTTTGGACAAGCTGTCATTTATGTAAACTCTGCTGGCTCAGACATGTATAAAGAGAGCTGCAGTAGTCCAGAAGAGAGGAGATAAAAGCATGAATTTCTCTAGATTCTAGACGATCTGAGGCTGTTTGTGACACCGCTGGTATCCAAAATTTCTGGTGTAATGAAAATTGAACCTCATTTCCCATAAAATCCTTTCCTGTCCTGGAAAAAAAGATAAACAGCCTGGAAGGAATTTTTGTAGTAGGTAGTTTGTGAAGCCTGTATCTCAATGTTGTAGTCATGTGGTCATAAACACGTTTGGTTGCAGAGTAACTACAATGATACGATTTGAGGGACATCTAATCCGTGTGAATGTTGTCTCACCAGTCTGTTGGCAGATATCCGCAACTTTGCCAAACACTGGGAGCACTGGCTGGCCTCCTCCCTGGAAAACCTCCCAGAATGCCTTGCAGCCAAGAAACTGCCTATTGCACGCCGCTTTGTCTCCTCCCTGAAGAGACAGACCTCGTTCCTGCACCTGGCACAGGTACCAACATTTACTGAAGAAGAAATGATGTCAGTTGTAGCACAAACACAATAATGATTGAATGAATAATTGCCTGTTTTTTCCAGATAGCCCGTCCGGCGCTGTTTGATCAGGCCGTGGTGACCAGCATGGTGCTGGATATCGATAACGTGGATCTCAGCAGCATCAGCTCACAGCCTCTGCTCAGCATAAACACTACAGGAGACCAGGACCCAGACATCTACTCTGAGTGTAAGAGAACTTCTGACTGACTATTTGACTTGCATTTTCTCATATCATTATCATGGAAATCATCAAAAACAATCATCATAACTGGGAAGAAAATCAATGTATTTGAATTTTAATAAAAGTACAATATTGATTCACTTCACCAAATCTGTAGTCCGACCCGACTCTAAAACGATGCATTCATCATGCTTTTTTACAGTAACATTAGCTCTTCCTGTTGCTGTATGAGAATAAATGAGAATAACGAAGCTACTTGACTCCACCTGAGGTCTTTTTCTTTCTTTTGTCCAGATGACTCCATCACCGTCTTTCAGGAGCTGAAGGAGCTGCTGAGGAAGAACGCCACAGTGGAGTCCTTCATCGAGTGGTTGGACTCTGTCGTGGAGCATAAAGTCATCAAGGTAACAGCTGTTCACCTGCCTCTTTGTGTACTTGTACTTGTGTGGGCACACTGCACGGTCTTGTAAATGTCCTGTTGTGCAACCAAGCAGTTTTTTATTTTTATTTTCGGCCCTTTCTTTCTCTCCGCTAAGCCCGGGAAGCAGAGCGGTCGATCGGTGAAGAAGCGAGCTCAGGATTTCCTGCTCAGATGGAGTTTCTTTGGTGCCAGAGTGATGCACAACCTCACACTCAACAACGCCTCCAGCTTTGGTAAGAAAAGCTTCACACGTATAAAACCTTCCAACTGGTTCACAAGCAAATTGAACCCATTCCTCCTCCATAAGACAGGGGAACTTTAATCTGGAGCTGACGCTATCACTGTCTCTTCTTCCAGCTTCTAAGATGTGAGGATTTTCAGCCTTTCTCTGTTTAATCTCACTGTAAACTGAATATCGTTTGGTTTGGGAATTTTTAATTGTGGAAAAAACAATGTTTCTGAAGGTGACAGGGATCTAGGAAATCAGAACTCTGACACCTCCATCTCTATTTTTACATCTTGGCTAAAGACACATTTATATTCTCTGGCCTTTTTGACTCACAAACCTTTTAGTCTGTTGCCATGTTCATAATTGTGTATTTGCTCCTTGTTGTTTTCTTTTTTGTGTTAGCATGTTTATATGTTTCTGTATACAGTATATTAAGCATGCTTTCCATGTGTTTTTACTTATTTCATTCTTTTATTTTACTTTGTCCTTTGTACAGCACTGTGGTCAGCTCAAAGGGTGTTTAAATGTGCTCTAGAAATACAGTTGACTTGACTTGACCTATATGGACCCCTATAACTATTACTTTATAGTTAGGTATAGCCCTACTTTAATCTTTGGAAAAGTTAGAAATCATTGCTTTGTTGGACTTAACACATAATATAAAGGGAATACATATATAATATATATATGTATATATATATATATATATACATATTAGCAATATACTTGCAAAATTAATTTATTTTGCTCTTTTTTTGCATCATTTGGTAAACTTTGGGTACCCAAACCTTTGCATTTTCACACCAATAAATCATTAACCCATCACATAAACTTAAATAAAAGTGGTTTATATTTCACACTTGAATTTTTAGAGTTCTCACAAGAATATAGACAGAACAGCACTTCAAGAACGAAACAGAATAACACATATACACAACCAAATACAAATAAAATAAATAATATTTTAATTTTCATACAACTACTTTAATTAGGCATTTATTTAGTCTGTGTTCTGTCTCATATAAATTGACCATTTTTCCCAGTTCCTTTTCAATGTGTTCTCTCTGACTGTCAGAAAAATGTCTCGGACAATTTCCAGCCACTCACTGATTTAGGAGCGTTTGCATTCAGCCAGTTTCTGGTAAAAGCTTCCTCATAAATGAAAGTGGTTTAAACTGGCATAATCATCACTAAAATGTCTGGTGGTTACAACCATTTACTGTGGAAGCTGCTGTGTTGCTTTACAGCACAGAAGGAAAATGTTTTACAGCACAAGGCAGGAAAACATTTGTTTCCTTACCAGACAAACAGAAGCAAACCTGCTGAATCGTTTTTAACATAACATCATTTCACAATATATGCCCTTTAAGTCAAAGATACCGGGGAAAGGGGAGAAGATGTGACAGAGCTTATGGGGAATGTAGTCTAACCAGCGTGCACCTCAACCACAGTTAATCAGTCACTATTGAAAAACTACTTATAAAAGCTACATACTGAGCATAATGACAACATGGTGATTATTATTTGTGATATTATTGTAATTTAGCTAATTAACTTGTGCTCATTTCTTCTCCATCAGTCAGTCCACAGGATGAGTTGACCACACACACACACACACACAAACACAAGACTAATACAAGCCAGCTCGGAGCAGATTGCTACAATAGTGCCATAAATAGTAATGGCCAGACTCACCTTGATTAAACAAAGTCTTATCTGAGGGTCGCGTGCTCTCTGTTCAAACACATGCACACAGGCTGCGTGAACATGAATAAACACTGGCCATTTGTTGGGTCGCTCTCTGAAGTCACAGTAAAGCTCAAACACAGAAGGTTTTTAACCTTTGACCCTGCAGGTCAAACAAAGAGCAGCTCCATCCTAAAGGTCAAACAGATGAATCCTCAAGTGAGAGCTCAGCTGGAGTCAGGGAACTGAGCCGGTTTGATATGCGAGAAAGGTTGTTAGGTACAAATCTTTCTCGATGAACTTTTTCACATTTTGTGTTTTGGCGTCGGCAGGTTCCTTCCATCTGATCAGGATGCTGTTAGACGAGTACATCCTGTTGGCTCTGGAGACTCAGTTTAACAACGACAAGGAGCAGGACCTGCAGAACCTGCTGGACAAATACATGAAAAATGCAGGTATCCGCCATCAGAACAGACTAACACCTGGGGAAATGCAGCCACTCACATTCATCTAGCACAACTCAATTCATGCCAAGAGGCCTAAAGGTCGTTTAACTCATACTTTAATCAGAGACATAATCAGAGACAGTTATTAATATTACAGAGTATAAGTGATTGATGTCATTCCAGGTTTAACTATCACCATTATTACAGTAGTGTCCCACATACAGAGGGTCATGCAGGTCAAAAATAAAGCAGCATCAACAGAAAACAGTTCCAATATGGCCGAAAACGAGTCCTTGTTTAATGACTTTTAACAGATGTTGTTGTTAATGATGTGATGTTGCTCTTTTTACTTTCAGATGCCAGTAAACTTGCGCTCATGGCTTCACCTAGTTCCTGCTTTCTTGCCAATCGCAACAAGGCCAACTCTGCCACTGACCAATCGGTGAAGAACGAGTCTCTGGTAGAACACGCCTATATGTCTCTGTCCACCAATCAGCAGCAAAGTCTGGAGACAAGCACGGTCATCTACCAGGGGACAGATACTGCTGGCTTCACAGTTTCAGGTAAAAGAAAAAGAAAATAATCCACCATTTTGTAAAAATAAAACATCCAACCAAAATAAAACATCAAGAACAAGAAGTAGCGTGAATTATAATCAATTTAAACTTTATTCTCCAGAATGTTATTACTTAGATCCACTAAACAACTCATGATAACTGACCTCACAGTCACCAACTTGGATGTTTTTCAAAGTAAAACATAAGTCATCACATTTTTTCACTTCTTATGAAGTCACTGAGGCACACAAAGCATCCTGAAATTGTGTTTCTTCTTCTACGCTGATATAAAAATTCTGCTTGACATTTATCATCGTTGCTATCACAGCACTGGGCAACTTTCCACGCAGGTAGCAGCAAGTGTCTGATAGGTGAATGGTTCAATAAGTCCTCCAAACTGAAAATGACAAAATAAATGATTTGTTGTTGTATTCAATACGCACCACATGTGTTTTTTCTGATCTGAGAAGAAAATGAGCAGAACAACTTTGTCTACCAATATTTTACATTGTTGATGCAGCAATATCTGAGTTTTTGGCCATTTGAGGGTAGAAAAACAAGCTGTAAACACAACACTGACCTACTGTTACCTGACATAGTTGTAATGGTGAACATGTGAACATGCAAACAGTTGCCTATTTACACATTCTGCAGACACCAAGCAATGTAATATTCATTTGGAGTCCAATATTGAATCTCTTTAAGCACTGATTTTGGTCTCAAACTGCTCCCGAGGAAAAAGATCTGTCTCTTCAGCTAATACAAGCTCAACTATGCTCACCAGATAGTTGTTAGCTTTGTCAGACTGCTGGTCAAGTAGTGTAAAATGGGTTTATTGGAGCATCTGCACTGAAAACATTTGCCATACATTCTCATTTTACCCATTGTTCGTACAAAAACATTGATGAGTGCAGCTTTAAAGGAGCTATTTGTGAGTTTTGCTATTACAACATAGCCAACATTAGCTTTAAGCATGGAACAGTTTTAGCTGGTTAGCATGCTAACTTCATTAGAAGACAAGAAGTGATAGAAATAAAAACAAAACAAAAGGGTTGTCTTTCACAGCTGGGGACAGCTCTTGGCAAGAAAAGGAATGAACTCACATTGTTTCTTCTAGACTGGTAAGTAAACACCTGTTAATGCTAACGTTAGCAATGTAGCAATAGCAAAACGTACAATTAGCTCCTTTAAAGAAAATCACTCGTGTAACATGTGTAACATTTTTTACTTAATATCTCCTCATGTGTGTTTATTCTAGACTGTATAATCCCTGTTTCTCCACCCCCACACTCAGGTGGTCAGATGGACTTCTCTCAGATCAGCGGCCCCCTCATGACGCCCCCTATCTCTCCAGCAGCGTTAGTGCACCGAGGCTCCGTCATCAACCAGGGGCCCATGGCAGGCAGACTCCTGCCGTCTTCCTGTTCTTCCTCCACCTGCTCTACCTCCTCTTCCTCATGCCTCTCCTCTCTCAGTGCAATGACCCAGCCCAGCCCCTGCTCTTCCTACCCGGAGACCCTGTATCACTGCTTACCTCAGACCAGCTCTAGTTACTTCCCTCCAGCCAGCAGCTCCTCAACCTCGAACTACCAGCCTGCACTCAGGTTAGCTTTTATGTTATGTTATACTGTATATTCATTCACAGACTGCTTTACTGACACTTATGGGCCATTACTGGGAGTTTGTAAAACAAATAACAATAATGACAAATAAGATGCAGTCCAGTCGGTGTCATCTGTCTACGATATGATGAACAATATGGAGTGATGACAGAAGAGATAATAATTGTATAGGATAATGGATAGCTCTTGCCCTGATAGGATTATAAAATAACCTTTTTGATAAGGTTTTCTGTACATACAAAACATTTATGATGATGATTATGGCCTTTGTTTTCCTTCTTTTTCTTGTTTTGCTTTTTTATCTTCGTTGGTGCGTGTTGTTTTGCTATGCGATGGTAAATCATGAAAAGTTGAATTTTTGACTCATGTAAATGTGTTTAAAAGGACACTCATTAAGTACGTAGTCTCTACTAGACTCTTGGTGTCATACTTTAATATTTTAACATTTTACCACCTTCATAAGACCTCAAGTTTCATACCCATGTTTAGATTTACGCAAAACTTGGAAAGTTATTTCCCTTAATTTGCCATAAAAACCAAAAACTTAATTGCTGAACCAAAGTATAATATAATATATAGTATAATATTCCAAAATTATTATTTTTGATGTTTGCAGTTAAGAGTTTTATGCGCTATTCAAGCCAAATATCACAAATTAAATGTTTGTATTCTTCCTTTTTTTGTCTTGAAAGCAGTACAGTTTTGAAATACAAAATATTAGAATAAAATTCCCAAAAACATTACTTAAATTAAAATGTTCTTTATTTAAAAAAAAAAAAGAAAAAAGTTTAACAACCTGCAGAAAAAACTCATTAGTTGGTGTCATTGGTAAAAATCTATTTGTTAATTGAGTGTTGTAGCATGTAGACATATTGTAAAATATCTCCTGTTCTTATAATGTCTGAAGATTTGTTTAATTCTGTATTTCAGACCTCAGACCCAGAATCAGTGTCTGGCCTCAGTTCAGTCTCAGGCTTCATCTCTGGCCTACCAGCTCTCTCGGTACCCCTCGTTTAATGACCAGCAGCTGACTAAAGACTTGTTCTACAATCATCATCATCATCCTCCTTCATCAGTCCATCACTCATCCAGCAGCACGAACTGCTCCCTGACACCTTATGCCTCTGCAGTCCGGCCCACATCCAGCTACAGTTCAGGTTCAGATCCAGTTCAGACTGAACAGGGGCTGGACGTTCAGACTGCCGCTCAGATTCTGGACTCAGCTGAAGGGTTCGGCTTCGTGGGGGCAGGACTGAACCCCTCAAGTGGTGGGTGTCAGGGACAGACGTTTTCTGCCACAGGACACAGCGGTAAGTCTCAGACTGTGGCATTAAATCAAACGTTGGCAGATTATTAACACAATTCTCAGAAAACAGGATCTCAGTTCCAAACTTTCCTCCTGTGGCAGGTTACTATGGCAACAGCAGTTACCTGGACAGCCAGCGGATGACATCACTGGTCGACCAGCACGTGTCCGTCATCAGCAGTGTCAGCAGTCTGCGTCCCTTCCCTTCAACGTACTCCGAAGTTCACGATCCGCTCAACATCCTGGATGAGCCAGGAAGGAAAACTACAGGAACCTATTTCACAGAGGCTGAACCTGGAGCAGGTCAGCAGGTCACATACTGTGTGTGTGTGTGTGTGTGTGTGTGTGTGTGTGTGTGTGTGTGTGTGTGTGTGTGTGCGTGCGTGCTGGTGTGTTTATTTATTTATTGGTGACCAAATTTTTCTTAAAATATCTTCAGATTATAGAATTATTTAATTTGCTACACAATTTCACAAGACATCCAAAAAGAAAAAGAAAATTAAATGGCAATTTTTCATTTCTCTTTATAAAGCTGGCAACATGTAATTTTATAAAAAGCTTCTTTGTATGTGGTTTTCTTTTAAAACTGGCAACACAAAGGAGTCAGGAAAATTGCATTCATTTCAGCCACACATTTCAGTGGTGTACTGGCAATAAAAACTCCAAAATGTTATATGTAAGAACATTATACGAGCCAATTGCACACATAAAATTACACTACTGCTTAAAAGTTCTGCTTTAAGTGAATAAGCTTAGGTGGTAAAAAGGTAAGTGGTAAACTGCCCAGGGTGAAAACAAGCAAACAAACAAACAAAAAAAAAAGTCCATGTCACCAAAAACTGAAAAATCTTGTGACTTTGATAGAAAAACAGAAAAGCCTTTTTCAGGGATTAAGAAACTGGTTAATGTCCAGCTTTCCTTCAGCAGTGGAAGTAAATGAAGCCTTAAAAGTTAATGCAAACCATTCCTACAGGTTGATGACTTACAAACCCTCTGTCTGAACAAAGGCCGTGTTCGAACAAACTGTTGCCTCACATTATTAGGACATTACTGTACTGTTACTGTAAGTAACAAAGGAAGACAGACTGGTTGGTCAGGGGTTCATCATAGGACAAGAAAATGAGCCAAAACATTAGAGGAAAAGAACAACTCAATGACTTCACATGATGAAAGAGCAGCGCAGTCTCCAGACTTAAGACTGAGAGCAAAGCAACTGCAAGTGTGACACATTTATGATAACTTCTGCAACAGTGTTGGGAAATTTTGATTTTTTTTTTAATTCAATTTAACACTAAAAAGTTCCACAATTCAATTTTTTTTTTTAAATTTACAATTGTTTATTTGTTTCATGCTTCGTTTTAACTGACACAATAAACCACATAAATTTCAATAACAACTGGAACTTGTTTTGACTGAACTTTGATATAAAGTTACAGTCCAAGCATGAAAACCCCTCCTGGTCCTGTACAGGTATATGGTTACAGATTAAAAACTGAAATGTTTTTATTTTTATATTTCCGTTGTTTCCTCCTCAGATCATTCCCTTCCCCCGTCGGGATCTGCTCCCTGCATGTTTGGAGTTCCCTCTCCGTTCCCCCCGCAGGAAACACTGTTGTCTCAGCAGCGCGTGACGCCATCCTCAGAGGTGCAGGACCTGGTGTCCTCGCTGCCTCCCATCAACACCGTCTTCATGGGCGCAGGAGGAGTGCAATGACTCTGAGAACACAAACATCCGCTCGAGTCGAATCAGAGCAACTTTATAACTCTTTATAACAGTGGAGTGAGGGAGGTGAACGCCATGTGACGAGGACACTCAAACCCAGGACATCCAAACTGTGAGGTACAGTATGAACCTTAGCTAAGGAGGCTATAAAGATTGTTTTAACTGGGAAAGACCTACATGACACCTGTCAGTTGTTTTTATCACCACTGTATTGTACCAGGCCGAGCAGCAAAGCAAAGATGTTTATTTGTATGAAAATGTGGACTGATACTTTAAAAATATACAAATTGACAACAGTCGCTCTGATACAGATATTTATTCTATATCCGCTACTGTATTTTTCAAATAGTAATTTTTCCAGTTTTGAGATAAAAAAAAAAAAGAAGTGATTTTGTTGTTACATGATGCCTGAGGGCTTCCATTTCTTCTCTGTGCAGATTCTTGTAAATAAAGCCTCACAGGTGATACGGCATGCTTTTCACTGACTGCACAACAAGAGGAAAACAATCTAACAGCGCTGCGGTCCACACCTGCTCGCAGACATATTCATTGCTCAACTTGTATTAAGAGCTTGTTTACATACAGGCCTTTAGAGCCAAGCAATGCTGCAGGGGATGAAAACTATTCTTTTTGCAATTTCATTTTGAAGGTTTGTTTCTGAACTTCTTGTCCTGATTAGTCTCGGGCTGATTCTCAGGGTACACATCGCTACTGACTCATGGTTCAAAGTACAGAGGTGTAGGCACCTTATTACATAAGAGTACTGAACATTTACTGGTTCCCCCTTTTCCAATGTGAGGATTTACTGGTTTCCTCTGTTTTACTTCATTGGAAATTGAATGTCTTTGAACTTTGGCGTTTTGGTTGGACAAAACAAGTTATTTAAAGACTTGTAACAATTTTACTCTTCATTTTATAAGCTAAACAATTAACATTTTAATTGATATTTGAAAAAATGACAGTTAATGGTAGCCTTAATGTAAATGCACACGTTTTGTGCCAAATGTTTTGTGGTGCTTTGAGCTAAATACTAACATTAGCCCAATGGCAATGCTATAACATGCTGCTGTTTAGCAGGTATAAAGTTTACCATCTTCAGAATTTTGCGTGTTGACATGTTATCGTTTGCTAATTAGCACTACACAACAAAGTGCAGGCGAGGCTGATGGGAATGTCAGTTTTTCACATGTTTGGTCATAAACTAAAGTATCTGACAAATGAAAAGTCAGGGGATTATCAAATCAGTTAGTGTTCATCCTCTGGGGGATATGAATATGAATGTCTGCACCAAATTTCATGGAAATCCACCCAATGCTTAAAACGATATGACTCTCAAAACCACAAATGTCAACTGCATGGTGTTGGTGGATGCAGTCAGAATCATGAAAGTCATTTGGATTCATCCTGTGGGGAATAGCTGTCTGTGTAAAATTACATGAGATATTTTAGTTTGGACCAAAGAGGTAGACCAAACTCCTCCAGTAGCTGCTGCTGCTCTTATGAAAAACAGCAGTGGATTTGCACAAAGACTACATGGATTATTAACATTATGTACCTGGTTGCACGTTTGGCTCTTTATTTTTTTCACTGCAATAATGAAGATACTGAACAGAACGGACCAGGGAACAGCTTGTGTTCTTGCTTTTGTCTGCCTCTGCAGCAGATTGACTTTCAGTCAATAATAGAACCCAATAGAATCTTTATCTGCTCCGATTCAAAGACCTCATGTCAAACCACTAAACACATGAGTCTTTAATGGCTGAGCTTGCAGACGGAAGCACAATTGAAAACCAGGGATCAAAGTTGGGAGGTTTTTATTTGTAATTATTTGGTTTTCTCTGCGACACAATGGAGCGAGATATGACTGAGATAATGGTGTTTACAAAATGTTACCAGAACCAACAAAGATAAATGGAGGGAGGGAGGGAAGGAGGGAGGGAGGGGGTAGATGATGTCTGTGAGTAAGCTTTTAATATCACACCATGCTGACGTCGGTAAAACATGGAAACATGTCTCCTCTCAAGTTTGTCGGCCCTGGACCAGATGGGACATCATAAAACCACGAGATCAAAGCAGATTCAAACATCACAGTTTGTTTGGTCACTTTCTTCTGACAAAACATTTCAATAAAAAACCTTTTATCTGCCAGCGACTGAATTATTTTTTTTAATTTGAAAAAGATTATTGTACGCTGTTTTATTATACTAAACACTTAAATTATATGCATAATGTTGTATAGCAGTCACCTTTAAGATTCATGTTTATTATTATTACTGTTATTTATGATTGATTCATTGATTTATTTAAGAGCTTAAAAACAATTAACAGAAAAACCAGATAATTACATAACAGGTCACAATGGACACAACCTACAAATTAAAAAAGACAGACATGTCAAAAAAATTCAGACATTTATTCTGTAAAATAACAAACAACAACAACAACATTTTATTCTTGTAGCATCTGAAGCATTTTATTTTATTTTATTTTATTTATAAATATATTTATTGGGCTTTTCAAACTTTATATAACAATTACACTTATGAAAGGTCTACACATAAAGAAAAAAACTGCAATAATTATGTAATGTTATGCTGAATAGTATTACATTATCTTTGTACAGTACATTACAGCATCCTCATTTTCAAGTACTCAGCAAAGATTCAAGATAATCAATAAATTTTCCCCATATTGTTATAAACAGTTTTATATAATTAAGATATTGAATTTTGGAAAAAAGAGAAAAAAAGAATATACATGTTATTGATCACATGCTGGGGAACCTCTGGTCAGATACATAGTATAGATGAGAAATGTAAAAAAGACAGAGAAGAAGAGTATAACTGCAGGTTTTCTGACCCTTTCAATGTACATGTATCAGGGAGGTGACTACATTATATCAGAAATGGTTAAAACTGCGAACTGTTGAATATTTAATTAAAACCTAATAAACACAAATACATGTTGGCATGAGTCACACTGTTGTAGATGAATGGTGGTGATGTGGCCGTCCTCCCTCCTCCCGTCTTGATTGGTTTTTATACGTTATCTACTCAGGAGGAAAAATCCATTTCAGGTGCTCATGCAGCGGCACAGGGACAGATGGTGGCATATGTAATGATTACAGAATCCCCACGTTAAAATACTTTAATTACTAAGTCAATAATGCCTGCAACAATTGCTGGACCTTTAGTGTAAAAACAACAGAAGGCGGAAGGCAAACTTTGGGCCAATGTTTAACCAGAACTTTGCATTAGAGCTGATCGAGGCAGCCTCAGTGTGTGTGTGTGTGTGTGTGTGTGTGTGTGTGTGTGTGTGTGTGTGTGTGTTTTAAATGTCATATAAAAAAATGTCAAAATAAAAAATGAGATTAATGTTTGACCAACCATGGTGAAAACTCAGTTTTGTTTGAATAAAACATGCATTTGTTTTTTTGTGTTTCCCAAAAGATCTGGTGCTACAGGAAGTTAACTGGTTTGATTCGGCCTGTTATGACACATACTATAATTTGTTTTAACTTTAGGTCACCTCACAAATGGTAAAGTCTGTTTTGTAAATAAGATATTGGAGAGTAAATGCTGTAACATTTAAAGGAGACGAATTAATTGAGCAGTGGAATATGTTGCTACTATTGTAATCCAGTGAATAGAATAACAAAGTAATATTTTTTATATTAAGATTTAAGGATAAAATGAGGAAATAAAATTATTAACTGACACATTTAATGAACTACTCATGTTTCTAATAAACCATTAAATGAATATTTAGGATGAATCAATTTAAAATTGCTTTTTTATACATATTAAGGTAATAATTGAAATGGTCTATAATTACTCCAGTGACATACATTACCAACCATCTCATATCTGCTACGAAAAAGGCAGATCCATGATTCATTGGATTTGCATTGTTTAGGCCTTTTTCTCATTTCTAATTGATTCTCTGATAATTCATAACTAATAAACATGGGTTGGACAAAGTAAAACACTATAATAACTACAGTGTATCATATACTATAATGTTCATGGTGTTTGTAGTCTGATTTAGCCCTTCCTGTATATTCTGACTCAATCCTATTGACTCATCTGAAACTGAAGCTGCACTTCTCCAGATGTCCATCAGAGGGCAGCAAACTCATATTAAACTTCCATCAGTGTAGGAAGCTTCTGAGATGAAACCCTCTGGATACTGAGGAGAGAGAGAGAGGGAAAGAGAGAGAGAGAGAGAGAGAGAGAGAGAGAGAGAGAGAGAGAGAGAGAGGCCAGATTCAAACAAAAGTGGATTTGTTTGGCTTCAAGAAAGGTCTCTTTCAGTGCAGCAAAGTCAAGGTCTACGTTCACAAAATGTTCTGAAAAACGATTTACTGCTTTTTTTTTTTTTTTCAGCGCATCAGGTTTGCTGAGGTTTCACACTGCACAGGCTTCCTGCAAGCACAAGTCAGTCACATCAATCTGACAGTTACATATCAATTACATCAACAGTGATTTCAATATTGGTCAATTCTTCTATGAGATGTGCCCAAAGCCTCATTTACTATTTCTGTATATAAGTATTAGATATAATGCTTTTTAATAATTTATAATAAATATTTATAATACATTTATGATAAATATATAGATATAAATATATAATTATTTTAATATTATTAAAGCCATACAATTTTAATTTGAATATATAAATGTTTTTAAAACAATTATTAGGCTCAGTCACTAAAGCATGAAATTTAAAGCTGCTGACACCAGACCACAGGATGTTTTTAAAGAAGAAATTAGTGAGTAATTTCATTTGTGTAAATCTTGCTGACCATTTTACATGTTTGTAATTCTATTACAGGTTTTCTTGATAAGTCAGATCTTCGGATAAGTCAGATTGTTTCTGTCTCTGAAAAGTCCTTTAAGACAAATTTTTCCAATAAAGGGGAACATACACTGAGTAAATCATAATGAAGTAAAAAGAGACAGATTAACCCACAGGTCGACCCGTAATTACGT